GGGAGGAGAGAGAGAAGGGGGGAAATGGGGCTGATGCAGCAAGGGGTGGGGAACAGAGAGTAGGGGGGCCCAGGTTGGCAGGGTGGGGACGAGCAGGGAGAAAGGGGTCCCGGGTTGGTGCAGCGGGGGTCAGGGAGAAGGGAGGCCCAGGCTGATGTGGAGCGGGAGAGAGGGGGCCCGGGCTGCCTCTTCCCAGTGGCTGGGGGATGGGGGGGAGGAGCCAAGGTTGCCTACCCTCCATGAAAGGGGGGTTGGCAAGAGTAGTGAGCAAGTGACATAGCCCGCTACTTAAAAAAAAAAAAAAAAGACCATTCTTCATGTAGTGTATATGGCAGAAGAAAGGACAATGACCACTTGGGAAAAAGAAGAATGGTTTTACTATTGTAAACACAAGCCTAATAGAGAGGCAAGTTTAGTGAATGTGATTTAAGGAACTGAGCTAGAAAACTACAAAGCTTCATATTTTTCATTTTATTGCAATTTGATAATTTTAGCTCTACGGTAGCAGCCATTGGATCAAGCATGCGCAAACAGTGTCTCTGTTTCTGATGTGAGAGGAATCTGAGAACTGAAGAGGTATTGGTGAAACAAATTTAATTTAAATTAGCTCTATGTGCAGGCACATCCTTCCTAACCAGGAGTCACACCTACAGCTTTGCAAGCACTGTTGCTTAACACTTCCTATAAAAGCTTTTTAGTCCTCAGTTTCACTGATTCTCTGTCAGTATCACTCAGTTTTCTTCTAGCAGACATCAAGCTTTGGAAAGCTGATATAATCTCACCCTCCTGTCATTCTCAGCTTTGGATAAAGTGTTTTCTATGCAACCATTTTCTTCTGGAGTGAGACAGTCTTAATATTTCAGTCTTGAAAAAAACACAGCATTCAGGATCATCTCCTTTACCTATGTGAACAATCATATTCTCCGAGGTCTCCACTCATTAAAATAATAAATGTAAATTTACTAAATATACTTTAAACGGAATTGAGGAAGCAGGATAGAAAAAGAGCTACACAAAGTCTGTCATCACATTTATCCTTAGTTATTACTGAGATGTGAAGGACAACACTGGGAAAACTCACCTAACTGTTCCTTGGTACGCAGAGTGTTGAAGCAAGGCTCTGATATAATTTGACAGAAGAGCTCCAAAAACATATTCTCAGAGGTACTCTGCATATCTGTTTGGTAATATATTTCTATGCCACAATTGTTATGAACTTCATTCCTCTGTTGATAGACAAACCAGCCTCCTGAAAGATGAAGTGACAGTAATTGGGCGCACTCATTATATACACCATTCCAATAGAATCTAAGTAGAAAAAGCAGAAAGTCTAACTGCAGACTGAATCTGATTACAAAAGAAGGACAGACTAAAAGCAGATCTTCTATTAATAATCAGGCAACCTTTTCACCAACCTATGGGAGAAAAGATTTTTATAAACTGTTAACAAGATTAACAAATCCTAGCTGGGAAGTATTGGCAAGTCAAACGGTAAGTCAATTCCAAAAGTTTTGTCCGGTCAAATGGATAAGCGAATTGCAAAACCCAAAGGTCCTCACAGAGAACACCATGCCAGATACCTCCTCTCATAATGATCTTAAATGCGTCTTCTAATTTCCCACTGATTAGAATTGGTACTATTGCATCCATCTTATCCCTACACCCACAGGTAGTCCCTATGGATGAGTGTTGAGGTACATTTGTGTGGTTGGAGGGGAAGCTTGCATTACCCTCTCCCATGCTTTTGTTTGTAAACAGAGGACTTCAATTTCTACAACAGTCAATCCAACAGCTTTATGAACATTACAATTAATTCAACAAGTATTACTAATAGCTTCTTTAGTACATGGCATTTACTAAAGGTTAATGATCATCTGGAAATTATGGTCTTTGGCTGTACATTAGCTATCTATTCATACATATTCCCAGGAATTGTCCTGCATCTATGTAGTAATTAGTGATTAAATCTTGGCTACTTTGGCAGTGAAAAAACTTTGGGTACAGGCAGTCCCCGGGTTACGTACAAGATAGGGACTGTAGGTTTGTTCTTAAGTTGAATTTGTATGTAAGTCGGAACTGGTACATATTGTAGGGGAAACTCTAGCCAAACATTTCTCCAGAGCTCAGTTTTATTCTCCCACACCTCACTTCCCTCAGCCCTTTATTCTCAAGCTGAAGTGTCTGCTGAGAAAAGCCGCTCCACCTCTCCCTGGTCTGCTGGGCGGGGGGAGGGGGACGCGCTAGCTTCGCATCTCCCTAGTCTGCTGGGGGGAAGTAGCTAGTGCGGGGGTGCCTCACCCCGGTTGT